AAGTTGATCTAAAGTTGATCTAAAGTTGATATAAAGTTAATCTAAAGTTGATCTAAAGTTGATCTAAAGTTGATCTAAAGTTGATATAAAGTTAATCTAAAGTTGATCTAAAGTTGATCTAAAGTTAATCTAAAGTTGATCTAAAGTTAATCTAAAGTTGATCTAAAGTTAATCTAAAGTTAATCTAAAGTTGATATAAAGTTGATCTAAAGTTAATCTAAAGTTAATCTAAAGTTGATCTAAAGTTGATCTAAAGTTAATCTAAAGTTAATCTAAAGTTGATCTAAAGTTGATCTAAAGTTTCCTGAGTTTTTGGTGGAAATTTGCTCTGACCTGCCGCCGTAAACCGTTCACACAGAACCTCGCTGGTTGAATCAGTAAAATGAATGATCAGAAATCAAGTTTCAGCAGAACATTATGGTAGGTGTTAAGGATGAACTCTGACCTTTGCTTTGGCCAGAGTGTCCATGTTGCTGGACAGGTCGTCCACCTCCAGCCGCAGCTCGCTCTTCTCCTTCTCCAGTTTCTGCCGGACTCTCTGGACGTTGTCCAGCTGGTCTCCCATCTCGGCCACGCTGTCTGCGTGCTTCTTCCGCAGCGCGGCGGCCGTGGCTTCGTGCTGCAGCGAACACTCCTCCAGATCGCGCCGCAGCTTGATGAACTCGGCCTCTCGCTTCTTGCTGGCCTCCAGCTGAGCGGCGCCGGCGCCGGCGGCCTCCTCCAGCCTCTCGGCCGTCTCCTCCAGCTCCCTCGACAGGTCCGATTGCTGCTTCTCCGCTTTGGCTCGAGCCGAGCGCTCGGCCTCCGTCTCCTCCTCCAGCTCCTCAATGCGAGCCTTCGGGGAAAGTTCCAGAAGGATGAAACTGACCTGCTGTTTTCAAAAGACTTCATGCAAGAAACCTGTTAGTTATTTACAGCTTTCTCCTCCAAAGCAGCGTCTAATTTAGCCTCAGGGTTTTACTGTGAGCAGCGACGAAGGCCCGGCTCTTCCTCTTCCTCACCTGCAGCTCTTTTATCTTCTTCTGCAGCTGACCGCTGACTCCTTGCTCATCTTCTATCTTCGTCTGCAGCTGTGATAACTCAAAGTCTTTTCTGTGAAATGAACCAATTTTCACAGTTTTAACATATAACCACATTTTAGTTTGACTTTACTCTCTGTTCATCAGATTAAATTTAATCTGAATTACTTTTTCATCTTCTCGTCCAGCTGCTGCTTCTCGTTCTCCAGATCCATGATGGATTCCTGAGCGAGTTTCAGGTCTGCCTCCAGCTTCCGCTTGGCTCTGTCCAGATCCATCCGGACCTTCTTCTCTTGCTCCAGAGAACCTTCC